CGATCCAGATGCCATTTCGTAGTCTTGATTATTGTTCGTATAAGACGCTGCTACACGCGAGCTTTTCCTAGAACGAGGAGTAGAGGAGACGGGGAGGATGAGGGGGAGAGAGAGTGGGTGTTGTCGAGATTTATACAGGTCGACGAGCGTCTCGAGTGGTGAGGCTGTGCAGACCCGCAGTATGGGCCATGGTCCACAAGTGTGCTTATGTAATCAGTTGCACCGAGTCCCGCAGCAATCCCGTCGAATTCGACTTTGCAAGTCTGTGTTCGACCATCAGCTCCTATCAGAACACAATTCAACTTTTCAAACTCCGACGCAGCCTCCTTCGCCGGCGACATTCTAACCAGTGACCGCCTCAGACGTCCTCGATGCGCCTCAAAACTCATAGGTTTCCGTAGCAAACCAGCCTGAATGAAATCATCTCTCATTGCTACTACTACTACATGGCCTCACTACTCTGTTTACGCGGGGATGGGCTCGGCGATGATACCAATCGACTGCATGACGAGATAGACCTTGGTGCAGTACCTCTCCAAATCACCGCCCGTAGAGGGGAACACGGGCTTGTAGTAGATATCTGCACGAGCGGGCGTGCCAACAGTGGGGATGTTGGTGCAATAGTAAAAGTCATCTTGGCTGCCGGCAATGGCCAATCGTCCAGGGAGACCACTCGACTGGTTGGGGTCACGCTACAAGATCGTCAGTTAGAGGGTAAGAGCTGGATTGGATTCAATGCTTACAGTGGCACAGTATTGCTTGGCCTGTTGACGAACGACAGAAGCATTGTCGCTGGTCACAAATCTCACTTGCGAATCGACTTGAACGCGGAGACCGGCCGTTGACCATCCCTCGCGTTCGGGGGCAAACACGGCGTGCAAGACTTGGTCGTCCAAGGTCCAATACGAAGGGAGGTGTCCACAATCATCGGCCGTGCAAATCTATTCAGAAAAAAAAAAAAAGTGGTAAGTTTATATGCAAGAAGGGTCCATTCAATAGCGTCGCCACTCTCCCCCGCCGAGCATTACCCCCCTGGGCTTCTTTCCCCACAGCCAGGACGCATCAACATTCTCCGTGAAAACATCGAACGTAGCGTCATAATTCGCAGTTGGGGAAAAAAGAGGACGGGTAACGTAGACGAGCTAGGAGAAGCGAAACGTGAAGAAAAGAGTGTCACTCACGCTCAAGGCCTGGATGGTGTCGTTCGTAGGACGAGGAGTGTACAAGTCGATCAATTTGAGTAGAACCCAGTCCTCTCCACTCGACCCAGCAGGAGCAGCGTATAGCCTAAACGGTCCATAGCTCTTCTTCTTGCAGGTGACCGCCCGCTCGGCGATATCTACGACGTCAGCCACAACGCCGGCGGGAGCAGGCGCAGGTGAGGCAGAGGCCAAGGTGCTCAAGAGCAACAAGGACGAAAGAATAGTCGAGATTCCAAACATGGTGGTATGGGTCAAAGATTTGAGCAGAAAACGTGTACGGTATACGTGGAGCGAGTGTGTATGTAGCAAGAGGGATGAATCGACACTGTTAGAAAACGGGTGTTTCTAATGGTCTGAAAGAGTCAAGAAGAAGCGGGGGACGTAAAAAGTGCGCTTTTTCTGGTGTGGAACCTTCACCGAGCCAAGAGCCGCTTTTATACCCCCACCATGACCACCGCCACCACCGACACGGGCTCTATCCCGTTCGGCCACTCTCTTCCATTTCTATTCGATAAGCTCATTTCTAATCCGCTTACTCAAAGTTCCCGAGAGAAAGAAATAAAAAAGGCAATAGAGGGGGTAGTGTGTAGTAATATTCACTCCTCCCTTTACCTGCCCCATTTCCACAGGATGATCCGATGTTTAGACCGTGAAATGTCAAAAAGGAGGGTCGCGCTCCATGAACCCGGCCACGGCCTGGATTATCAGACTTCAAGCCCGAGTGGCGGCCACTACAGAGTCGCGAGTGAACACGAGAGGGGGTGTGTGTTGAGGTCATGGGTAAGGAGGTCGTCCTTCGCCAAGAGTGGCGAACGTCTTCTAACTCTGTGTAGACCCGGTCCGTAGATCGTGGACCAGAAAAATAGAGTTGTGGTGTATTGATTCTAGACGCGCATTGGTGAGCAGTCAGGGTGTGGAATTCTGTGTTCGCGCTCAATGTAAGCGCCCCCCAAGAACGCGTATTTCGCGCCTACCTTGTTCCGAAAGGTTTGAAATCTAGCGTGACATCACATGACGAGATTTTCAGCCCCTCTCGATTAGTGATCATCACCCAAGGAGAGCGCTGTCAAGAGGTTTGGCAGCACAAAGACGTGGAGCCGACCACCCAAGGAAAAGCGGCTCATCTCGATCCCGTCCTCTACATTCATCCGCGCGTCCCGCAGCGCTCCAAGTTGATATTGTCTCGCGAGCTTTCCCATCCCCTCATCGCGTCGCGGCGGATCATCCTCTTCCCTGGGACCACTTCCTACTCCAACCTCGACCGCCCGACCGTCTTCATCTTTAGTACGGGAAGTAAAAGAGCTTGACCCTGCCTGTTCCTATCAGCCTGGTTGGAAACCTTTGCTGCGCAATATTCTCACAGACGACAAGTGATAAGGATGACTGAGCTACGCAAAGTTTTTGATGTTAGACTGACCGACTGACCGAGCACGACAAAAGAACTCACTTCATCCAGGGATGGGCAATCCAACAGAGACAAATGATTTAAACCTTCCGTTTTCTCGTGCCTGACGTACCCTAGATCTGCTTCTCCCGACAATTCAGACAAAAGTGTCCACCCTATTGCATAGAAAGGGGCGAAAAATGCCGCTGATTCTTCATCTCGGTGACTTGGCATTTCCATTTCCAGATCGTTGGTATCCGTTTTATCATCATTGCCCCCTCGGGAGCAAGCATATTGGTTGGTGTCGCATTCACTGTGACCATATGGTCACCTTTCTAGTTGAAATAGTTCTTGTATATTACCTCGAATGCGTGAAAAAAAGTTGAGGCGAAGTTGGTGCGCTCCATCGAATCGAGAAGCGAGCCGTGCCCATGACCGGCACATCCCAATATCGATTTTCGGTGAAAAATAAACGTTCTTTAATAAATCACTTGATGATACTGATGATGAGGGGCTGTTGATGGTTTCAGATAATGCGCTTAGCAGAGCCGACCTGAATGAGGTCAAGGTCCAAGTGCCGTGGTCGAAATCCCCTTCGTGCGTTGACCTTCTTTCATGGGGCCGATCGTGAAGGTCCGTGGTAGGCGATTAGCGATGAGAAGAGAATCTTTACGCTTATTTCCTTGACATTTGACATTCAGGCTCAACAAGTCTCACGAATAGTCAAGGTAGATCCGATGGGAAGGGCCTGTCAAAAGAACCCAATCCACAATTTCTTCTTGCTTTACAAGGGTCAAAATACAGCTGAGTTTACTCTTTAAATGTCTCATTTAGGTTACATGAAGTCTGGCAGCGAGGAAAGGGAGCGAAAAGGAAGGGGTGGTACTGTAGCAAAGTGAATCTCCTGCATATCGCAAACGTGGATACAGAAATAATGATTTATAGCTCTGAAATAGGGTCTCGATTGGAAAGCTGTTATGTTTTGCTCTTTTTGGTTTGCAGTAATTTCAACATCTCTGACTTAAACTTGTTCTCAGGGCGTTCAGTCTAGATAGCTCGTACAGGGAGGTCATATCAAATTTAACCACGTAAGAGTATTTAGATCCATATATCTCAGTCCGGTGGAAGTGGACCAGATCGCCATTGGCCTGTCTTGTCGTAACACCACGTCTGAGTATTTGGGTTGCTCCCAGAAAAATCTATCTCCCCTGATTTATCACCAATATCTGATACTAGCATTCCCACCTTCGCCCCCCTTTTGAACCATACTTTCACCTTATTGAGTGGAGTGAAGGTGACAGACTCCCCTTCAAGCACTTTGCCCGGAGTGATGTGAAACACTCCTTTGGGAGGAGCAAGTGGATTAGGATCA